GAATAGCTGGGACTACAAGCCACTATGCCTGGCTAATTTTTCTATTTTTTTGTAGAGACAGGCTCTCACTCTTGCTCAGCCTGGTCTCGAACTCCAGGCCTCAAGTAATCCTCCCACCTCGGCCTCCCACAGTGCTAGGATTACAGGTGTGAGCCACTGTGCCCAGCCTACTTTCTTTAATACATAAAGAGCTTCTATAAATTGCAATTTGCTTCTACAAATTGCTCTTCTACAAAAAGCAAGTTCAAGCATCTTTTGATCAATAACCCAATAGAAAAGTGGCAAAGGAGTCCTCAGAAAACAAAATACAATGGATTTTAAACATATGAAAACTACAAAAAATTTAAACATATGAAAAGATACTCAAACTTGCTCATAATTAGAGAAATGAAATTAAAACTACAGCAAAATACCACCAAATGGCAAAGATTTAAAATTGTGACCACACATTTTAATGGAAAGCATGTAAGGGAACAAGGTGCTCTCATATGGGGGTGTAAATTAATATAACATATTAATAATTAATATAATCCCTAGAGAGAGCAATTTAGTAATAATTATCAAAATAAAAAATCTAGGCAAACTTTGTCCTAATAATTCCATTTCTAGGAATTTATTGTACATATTACAAGAGAGCAATGATGTATATATGACAATATTCGCTGTAGGATTGTTTATAAATATAAAAGATGTTCATCAATCAAGAACTTGTTTTAAAAATTAAGATCACATCCATCCAAGAAATCCTTAAAAAACAGAGTATCATTTAACAAGAATGCTTATATTGACATGGGACAATTCCCACAATGCCATTACTGAACAGAGCAAGGTAAAGAACAGCGTATATCACATATCATCCATTTGAGTATAAAGACATTGGTATCAGAGTGGCTAGGGGTCCCAGGTGGGAGCAGGTGTACTCTTTTGTGCAATGTTTATGTTTACCTACTTACGACTTAGAGTTCTAATGGGAGTATATGAGATTATGCAACAAGGATGACTTCATGAAAAGACTCAGGGATGCAGGCGTTATTTACCAAAACGGAGTGGCCCACGTGATGGGGGCCGGGAAGCATGAAAGTCAAGTTCAACAAGTGGGAGCTAAGTTTATACTAGAGATCAAAGCCGAAGTGACGTGAGGGCAGGAAGAAATGGCGATGAGGCTAAACAAAAGCAGAACTACCCAGAGCAAGCACTTAAATGAGATAAAGGGAGCTTTGAAAGGGGTCCTTTAGGAGTTTCTAATGAGCTGAACTTGGGCCGCTGTGCAAGTATTTGTAATTAATAGTAATAGCGTCATAAAGGCTTGTCATCTACTGGATTACAAAGTCAATTACAAGTCAGAGGGGGCATAATCTCTATTGTGTTTTATATTCAATCACCAATGTATGATGATTATGGTGATACTGTTCTTGTAGGGTTTGGGGAGGAATATAAATCCATCTTGGGGCTCATTCTCAGACTGAAGGAGATAACGAGTAGTCATTAACTGATGAAGGTTATCCAAAGCCACGAAGCCTTGCTTTCTTCGTGTGGTGTGGCCAGTGGTGCTGCTGCAGAATTCAGAAGAGTTCTCATCAAGGACCTTGACTAAAAGCCGCACAGGCGTACACGCCAGCCCACCAGCTTTACATTCCAGTTCAAAGAAGGCAGAGGCAGCGTGTGTAGTCTTTTATTTACACAGGGCCTGGCAAAACAGCCTACATAATTAGACACTTGGTGAAGACATTTCATTCTCAATGATAGTGGTGGTGGTGGTGGTGGTGGTGGCAGTGGTGACATGGTGACAGTGGTGATAATAAACCTTGATGTTGTCAACTCCTCTTGACAGAAACCTTCTCCGACACTCTCTTCCCCATAGCAGTGAGTGGGAGAGGAAAAGAGTAAGGAGCTAATTCCCAGTTTCAGGCCCTGAATTCTGACTGAGTTGCTGGATGACAACCAGATAAAAAGCGTCGTCATCACGTTTGGCTTTCAGGTCCAGAGCAGCAAGGGGACCCTCCCTGCTGGCATCTCTCTCAACATTCAGTGCTGTGCAGCCATGCAGGGGCCTGATGCATCTCTGTACAGCATCAATAGCATTTTTCATTTGTCAAACGATGATTCAATCTATTATTTCACTGTTTAGGAGGACCAAGCTGGGATTGATTATATTTCCTAATAGCAAAAGTCATCTAAAAATTAACGTATTAGTAATTTAAACCAAATCGTTTCCTGAGAGTCTTTGTCGTGCGTGGAACAGCGTACATCTTTGACATTCGCAAACAGCAAAACTATTTGCTAAAATGTAAGCAGTAAAAGATAACATTTAGAGTTAGAAAGGCCCTCAGATTTAGACTAGTTCAGCCCTTTCATTGGTATTCCACCACCCTACTGCCTCTAAATCTAGGAGTGGACACATCTGAAAGAAGTCAGCACTTTATGCTCATCTTTTTTTTCTAAAGGAGAAAAAGTTGATAGCTTTGTATGAGGAAATTATGCCATCACTTTTCTTTTTTTCCTTTTCACCAGGAGTGGGAACAAAGAGTGAAGATGATACTGCAATTCTGATCTCTTCAACCTCATTTGAAAGCATTCTCTATGATTTAGCTTTTCTTGAAATGAAAAGGATAAATTGCATTAACTTCGTTAAACTTGGGGGGGGGGAGTTGATTGGACATCCTGTTGTCAAGGAAACCAATTCTCTCCACCTCTCTCTCTCTCTCTCTCTCTCACACACACACACACACACACACACACACACACACACACACCAGTTAATACAGTGCCCTTTAAACTCAACTGACATTTTAAAATTATTTTAAAATACCCAAGGGTTCTCTCTGGAAATCTGTCCAAGAAGTACTCAAGGGAAGTAATTCCTAGAATTCAAACTCAGGCAGAACTTTTTCTAACTCTGGGGAAGCCACCATCATTCTGAGTCAGTGCCGTGTCTCAGAAACACAGGAGATGGTCTCCAAGGTCAGTGCCAAGTCAGCCGCAGAATGAGACCAATGGAAAGAGAGAGGTGGGATGAGAACTTTTAAAAAGCAGTAGAACAGCATGAGAGTAAGAGAAAGGTAAACAGTTCAATCCCTTGAGCCTTTATTGAGTGCCTATTGTGCTTAAAGCAAGCTATGCACTGAAAAAAAAAAGTAAGTGAAAGCCAAGTTAAAAGAGATCTTAGAGAGTGAGGTAGAGTTGCTTATTATTTAAAGACATGCACTGCCGCCCCGGCCATCCATCAGAGGAGACCACCTCCCTGCTCCATCGGTGTCAGGCTTGGCCAAGTGACTTCCTTGGGCCTCACAGGGGCCGCAGTGTGCCTCCTTCCCTGATTTTAGATTTGGTCATGTAACTTGGTTTGACCGATAGGATGTGAGCTGAGATGATGCGGCAGAAACTTGAAATGTTCTTGCACCGTTGGGCTTGCTCTCTCGAGCCTTTGCCTTTACCACGGGGAGAACGCGCCAGGTGAGCCTACTCTTCCAAGGAGGACGAAAGACGTGGGCTCTAGGTGCCCCAGGTGCCCCAGGTAAGCCCCTCCTTCCTCAATAATAAATTGCTGTTTATGTCCCTGAGTTTTGGGGTAGTTTGTCATGCAGCGATGACAAACTAATACAGAGAGCATCTAGCACAACACCTCAGTTTATTACTTTTTCAGGGCCACATAGCAAACCAAAACGTGGGTAGAAGAACTTGGTCCAAGCCATGGGTCTCCTGGGTAGGGCCATTTCCACAAAGAGAACAAGCCAATCCCTCTCAAAGACGGGCCCCAGGAGAACAGACATCAGGAATTCTTGGGACCAAAGGGCTTGCAAACCACCGGAGCCCATTAGCGTGGACATTAGCAACACAAGAGAACTTCAATGCACCTAAAAAAGTTACCACTGACCTGGAGGTCTAGAAAAGCTACCAAAAAATCTCCCTGTGGCTGAGAAGCAGCTGTATGAAAACACACTAAAATGATGAGGACTCCAGTGGGGAAAGACACGGGGAGAATCAATACAGTTCAGGCCTGTTACACCTTGAGCAGAATGAATGGTCTGGACATGGGTCTGTTCACCAGATTCTGGGATTTTAGAATCAGAGGAGCACACTCTGAAGCATAAAGAGGGAAAATTCAGGAAAACCAAAGGGAAGGGCTACATTACATGGCCAAGAACTAGGGTGACATGTGTCCCAGCACATCCGGGACAGTCTTGGTGTACAGCGTCCCGGGATAATTATTAATAGTGCTTCCTTTCCCTTGCAGAAGGAACTGGACTGGCTGACGAATTACCTGGTCACACTGCCGGCAGCTCTCCCACGGGGTGTGAGCACACGGGTCCACGTGCGCTTGAGATAAGTTCATGGGCAAAGATCTGGCAGGGCTGTTTGCGCTCTGAGGCACGGAGGGCCACCCTGTCCCGTGGTGGGACACACCCTGGGCACCGTGATGGGAGGCGATAATGGCACCGGCTCGGGAAGGCTGTAAAGCCTGGGACGCGGCGCTCTTTCAGGCCGGTGTGGCGTCCCCCTGGGCAGCCCAGAGTCTTCTCTGGAAACTTTGTCTGGACTGCCCGGCACCCTCTTTGTGGGCCCTCAAAACATAGAAACGCACACGACAGCCCTATTCTTGTCACTACTTCCACATCAGTTCAACACACAGAAACCGAAACATGGCGTACATATAGTTAGCAGAAAACTCGAGTTAGCTTCTTACCCACACAGAGGTCCGTACAGCCTGCGGAGCTCCAGCTGGCTCTCCCAGAAACCCTGAGGGGAACACAGCACTGGGGTAAGAGGAAGATTAAGCAAAATTTCCATTATTCAAACTTATTCAGAAAAAAAATCTGGAACAGCAAGAACACAATTACATAAACAACAACAAAAAAGAATTGAAGTTATATTGGTTTCAAGTACTTTGGAGTATTGGAATAAACAAATGGCTTTTTGAAAACCATTGCCAAGTAAAAGTCCCGGGCAGCTCTGCTTTAATGGACAGAAGATCACGGGTGCCTCACTTATTTGTGTGTTATCGCTGCTAAAATATTTGGATACGTTTGCCTTCTCAACTGTAACATTTCCCCCTGAGATTTGGTTTATTTTATTATTATTACTTGGCCATGCCCCTTTTCACTGCCACTATATGTATAAACTTCCACTGAATCTATTTCAAATTATCACAAGTTCTGAATTATTATGATCTGTCCAAGTTAAATTTTAATTAAAATCATTATATTTTTGGCTGGGTGCAGCGGCTCACGCCTGTAATCCTCGCACTCTGGGAGGCCAAGGTGGGAGGATCGCTTGAGCTCAGGAGTTCAAGACCAGCCTGAGCAAAAGCGAGACCCCGACTCTACAAAAAATAGAAAAATTAGCCAGGCATGGTGGCGCGGGCCTGGAGTCCCAGCTACTTGGGAGGCTGAGGCAGGAGGATCACTTGAGCCCAGGAGTTTGAGGCTGCAGTGAGCTATGATCGCACCGCTGCCCTCTAGCCCCGGTGACAGAGCAAGATCCTGTCTCAAAAAAAAAAAAAAAAAACAATCAATATATTTGAAACATAAGAACCTTAAAGTAACTTTATAGAGGACACATTTTATAACGGGAAAGGAGTATACTTAGAGATACATGTGGGAGAAGAAGGGGTGGAGGGTTGGAAAATGCTAGACCCACATGCTGTAGGGACCGAGTTGTGCAGGGAGGTTGGAGTGTGTGTGCAGGTGTACATGGGGGATCGTGTGGGTAGAGGGTTGAAAGATGCTAGATCCATTACTCGGTGGGAATGGAGTACACCTGGAAATACACAGGCATGAGTCAGGATGGGGGTGGGGTGTGGAAAATGCTAGATTTGTGTTGTGAGAATGGGGCATGTGGGGGTTAGAAGAGGTGGATGTCCACGTCCCATTCTCATTAAATCTACTGAACGTCGCAGTGTAAGCTTGCCGTATACCAAGGAAAGCGTACATGGATACAAAAATAGTTGCGGAAATTACCACATTCTAGAAAGGACTTGGCAGGTTGTGTACATGCAGGATGACGAGCTGAAAAGGAACAAATGTGGAAACCGTCCGGAGGCAGGAGCCTGTGCCCTCCTCATAGTGACAGTTACGCTGCTTTCCTCAAAATGTTAATACCAACTTAATTACTCAACCAAACACAGCTGATCATTTACCCCCAGAAATGTGTAAAATGTATTTTCTTTAAATTTCCTATCTGATTTGTTGTTCCGTCTTGACACTTTCAAATTTCTTCACACTTGTTTCAAGGGTCTCACAGGAAGCCTCGATGGGATATTAATAGTTGTTTGTGGGCTTAAAAGTTGTGCACTGCCCACCCCAGAGAGAGAGATGAGAGAAGACATTTAAAAATGCTAAGACGAGAGAAACAGCACAACAAATAACAGGGAAAGATGATGGATGGAGAAGGGGACAGAAGAGTAGAAAAGAATTGAGAAGGGAAGAAAAAGGACAGAAATAGCTAGCGTCATTTTCTATCTCGAGCAAGCACCAGCCTTTCCGGGGGTAGGGATGGGGGAAATCCTAAAGAGACGTTGAAGAAATACTATCAAGATTAGCCCAAATTTAGTCCTTCCTGCCTTTGTCTGGCTTAGTGGCTCTCCACATGCAGAATCTGGGTCTGTGGCAGTGTCCCCGTGAGTTAGCAGAAGAAACCAAGGGGTTTCTGAGAAAACCCATGTGAGAAAAAAATAACCTTAGCAGACAGAGTCCTGGGTCTGTCCCCACAAACGCCTGCTGACCATTCCCACCGGCATGACACTCCGGCAAACCAAAGGCAACATCCTTAAAATAAAATACGCCTTCTCCCTGGAACTTTTATTTCCATCAACCCACAGCCATTCTTCCTCTTACCCCCACTCAAACTTAGACTCAGGTTTGACGCATTTGCCTTGAATTCTCTACACCTGATCAGTCCCAAGAGTTCTTCATTTTGTCTCCAATGCCCATCTCTCCTCACTCTCATCACCCCCCTGGGCCAAGCCCCAGACTTGACACCTAGACTCCAGCCACAGTTGGAGTCCACGGCCCTAACGTAAATTCTTCTCCCTTGCAGAGTCATCTTGCATTTCAATGTCCCTCTTCTGCTCAAAATGCTAGTACACGAATAGTTCTTCACTCGCTTTTCCAGCCTGTCAGCAACCTAGCCACGTTGCTCCCAAACATGTCTGTGGCTTCTGCAGGACCCCCATCTTCAGGAAGCCCCCAAGGGTGCTCCCAGCCCTGACGGATCACCCTCTTCTCTGAAGAAGGATCACAGTTCCCGTCTACGCCACCCAACGTAGCACCAGGGCACATGTCATCTGGTGTCCTGCACCATTATCGGATGGCGCACTCGAGGGCTCCAGGAACTTCTACTTCTTCCACATTCTGGGGCTGAGCATATTTAGACATTCTGGGCGAATGGCTGAACAAACAGACGACAGGAATCTTTCATCACACAAGAATGCGTGCAAGCAGAGGAGGGCCCAGCCTAGGTGTGGGTGACCCGGACGGGAGCGATGCTTCTCGAAGAAGCCTGTACCGGGCTCAGCACATTTGACGACAGAAGTCGGTGGGAAGGTAGCCCTTACCTGGCGGAACAATGTCAGGTTTCCAATAAAAGGAGAAGGCTTGGGATGTCTGATGCCCAACTTCTCCAGTCTTGAGAACGCCGACGTGGAGTACCTGGGGGCGGGGAAGGCAAATTTTATAAATGGAAAAATGAACGCCTGCGTTCATGCTTTTGGCTCCTAGGAATCTGAATTATTGAGTTCTCTGGAAGTAAAAGCAGAATAATACGTTTCCAGTTAACACATCTGAGGACTGAAAATGCAGAGGCCTAGAGCTGAGTGACTAGCGCAGGAGTTCAGCAAATGCTCCATGATTGAGAGACAGGCTAGAGATCAAGAATCCTGAAACCCCCAAGTCCAGGAGATGCCTTAGAGACGGTGTCGCCCATCTGCCCCTCCCCCGCCTAGAATTCCTATTAAAAATTGTTTTCAAAAATGCACCTCTCTCCAGTTCACTTCCTTTGCCTCTAAATCTATCATGAGCCATTGCTCAGAAGGCAAGGCAAAAAACTGACCGTTTGCTCCCTGTGCAAATCTGTGTATTTTCTTGGTCAAAGCTGACCCCCCACAAACACACACATAATTTGTCCCTCGTCACATTTTATGGCCTAAATAGAGAAATATGAAAACAGAGAGATGGAGGAAACACACCCGTAGAGGAGACTGTATAGCCTACTGCCTTTAAGTCTTTGTTTTCTCGGCCCGCAACCATACGGGAAGCATATTTTCTTAACCAAAAATCAGGAAGCATGGTCCGAGAGATTTCTATGCCACTTTCCAGGAGAAAGCTGGCAGTCTGCGAAGTGCAGTGTGGCTGTCAAAACAGTGGAATTACTAGGGTATTTCAACAGTTTATGGGAACAGAGGGATAACACAGTTAAAGTCAGAGCTGGCTTCGAAAAACCCGGACATATGGCTCAGATCCCTAACCAGCAGCCAATTAGGTCAAAAGTTCAGTTAGTTTAAAAAAATTAATGAGTCAAACTGGGTGTTTAGCAACATGCAGAGATCAGCCAGATCACAATTTGGGGGCAAGGAAAAACACAGAGAATATCACTGCAATCCAGCTTCCTAGGAGTAGTGTAACTCAGACAAACACTGCTGTAAGAGGCACTCACTTATTAGAAAGACGGAATTTTGCTATATTCTTTAACCATTCCCTTTTCCACCTGAAGTCCAATAAGGAGCACTCAAAACAAGAACATTGTAGCAAATACTCAGATATTCAGGGAAAAGGCAACACAATTTAACTACTGGTTTGCATTATTCCGAGCAATGGGTCTATTTTTAAAGTGGCCCCAAGGGGGAACCAAGAAAGGGAAGGCAGGTTCTCCCCCCAGCTCTCCCAAGCTTTCCACCGCGTGGCTGTGTTACTAGGTTTGAACGAATTCCCAGAACATTGCATTTACGTCCACGATCAAGAGTAATTACAAACCACACTCAAGAGCCATGCGTGAATGCCACGGATTAGTCACGCCAAAGTTCCTCTTCATTAGCATGTGTCCCAAAGGTTGACGGAGCAGTTTGTAAAAGTTATTCTTCCAAGTAGACTGTGATGTTTTAAATAATTCCCCTTACACCTAAGGGGAAAGACCAAAAAAGACTCACCAGCCCACTTAACACTTTCCTTCACATCCTCGAATCGGGTGTCTATGTTCATTTCTTCATCAGTTTCTGTGAATTATTTTCTAAATGTAATCTCTAATGGGCAGAAAGAAATATGTAGATCTTGGACCACGTAATTGCATCTTAATTTTGTAATTAGATGTCTTGATTGTCTAAAGGACAAGAAGTCTGTGCCTAATTATGCGTGCTAATTATTATGCAAGTCCATGCCCTAATTATGTAACTCCACTTATGAAAATACTGCTTGTGTGTCTCTGCACAGAATTCAGACATTTTCAAGCATATGGCACCAGCAGAGAGTGTCCTGGACACAGCTACAAACTTCACTTTGCCACCTGGACTCAAGTATAGAACTTGAGCATCTTCAGCTGGAAATTGGCCAAATATTGCCATCAGTAACTAGAGTCACTGTGCACAAATCTTCAGGGAGAGATCACCACCACTAGCTTTATAGGCAAAATTGCAAAGTGGGTTCCATTTATCTCCCTCTCACATCCTTCTCTGTACCCTCGTTTCATACTCTCTGGTCCCAGGGTCCCCAGGCTGCCCTCTGACTGTCTCAATAGACTCTTAACCCAAAACCCATGGACCTCATGTGTAGTGGATTGAACTGTGTCACCCAGAAAAGAAAAGTTGAAGTCTTAACCTCCAGGACTTCAGAATGTGACCACATTTGGAAATAGGATCATTGCAAATGTAACTAGTTAAGATGAGGTCACACCAAAGTAGAGTGGACCCCTGATCCAATATGACTGGCGTCCTTATAAGACGGAGGCATGCGGGGAGAATGCCAAGTGGCTATGAAGGCAGCCACTAGAGTGACGTGGCTAAAAGCCAGGGTATGTCCGAGATCATCCGCAAACCTCTAGAAGCTGGAAGCGTCAAGGAAGGTCTCTCTCCTACACGTCTCAGAGGGAGCGTGGCCCTGCTCACACCTCAATTTCAGGCTTCTAACTCCTAGAACTGTGAGACAATAAACTTCTGGTGTTTTAAGTCACCCAGTTTGTGGTTCTTTGATACGGCAGATCTAGGAAAGTGATAGATCAGGGATACCCGTGAATTTTAGAGAGTCACTAAAAAGATTGTTTCAATTTTTTAAACAATCCCATTGCTTTAAAAATGGTCATGGTGAAAGAAATTTCTCTTTTATGTCCAATTGTGTCATTAAATCCTGCGCCATCCAAAAAAATGCAGGTGGCCTGGGTTGCCACTGCGTCAGGCAGGTAATATTAATATGCGATCATCACACAATCACCATGTTGTGATATTTAGAACAGCTTTCCTTCGACAGGAATTAATGCAAATGTATCCCACAATTGTGATGATGGACATCTGTCATTGTTTACATTAAGAATACTCAAGTTGGAAAATGACAACGGAAAGTATGTGTAGCTTCAGATAGCGGCCTTTGGTTTTATTTTCACAACTAAAGCAGTCATTAAATGCTACAGGACAGGAATCTTGCAGTGCCGGTGGCACAACTTCCACTGTCCATTGTCAAAATAAATTGAACCACACGGACCATTTTCAAAATAAGGTTCAATTTTTAAAGGCTGCAAAGTTCCCAGTATTTCATTTTCCTCAACACAAATGCCCTCTCTTGGTGGATTCAACATGGGTGTTTAGCCCATTGCTTAGCCAAAGAAGCCGCTCACGATAATTTGGGGGATATTTTGATGAATTATGTGTTAAGGAGATGGTCAAACGGATTGAGGTTTGGAGCAAAAGAAGAAAATAGTCAAATGATAGCCGCCCTCCAGGCTGTCCCTCGCTGCATAGCTTAGCAGCCAGCTCCATGGCTCATTCATCCGTCCTCACTGTCACTATCAAAGAACTCCTACTTGGTGAGCTGCTTTTGGAAATTTCCAGAGGCTGCTAATGTCTTTGAAATGGTAAAAGATTCCTTTACTTCTCCTGGATAAAAATTGTGATGCTCCAAGAACAGGTGAAGCCCAGGGGTGCCAGGTAACCCACCTGTCCTGCTCTTTGGAGAAGAGAAGCCCTTTGTCATGGTTACTGCATGCTTTCAACGCACGTGGCTCTCATCAGCTTTGCCAGCAATTTCATAAAAAGTCATGACCATGCTGGAAGCTTTCTTAGAAACAAGGCCTTAAATTGTTGTCTTTTCAAAAGGTTTTGTTAAGAAATGGGAGCAGAACATGAGGTTTGCTAAGACACATCTTGAAGTGCTTAGCAGAAATGTGGGCTAAAAGGCTAGAACTATAAGGGAGAAAGCCTATTCTCTTTTCTTCTATTGAAATTCTCTCTAGCTTTTTCCTCTGATTTTTGGATTTTTTTTTTAAAGTCTCCCTCTGTTGCCTGGGCTAGAGTGCAGTGGCGTCATCATAGCTCACTGCAACCTCAAACTCCTGGGCTCAAGCGATCCTCTTGCCTCAGCCTCCCGATTAGCTGGAACTACAGGCATGTGCCACCATACCTGGCTAATTTTTCTATTTTTTTAGTATAAACGGGGTCTCACTCTTGCTCAGGCTGGTCTTGAATTCCTGGCCTCAAGCAATCCTCCTGCCTCAGCCTCCCAGAGTGCTAAGATTATAGGTGTGAGCCACCACACCCAGCTCCTCTGTGTATCTTTTATATGTTTTCATGTTTTTTGTATGTTTGAGATCACATTCTCTGTGTTTTTCTATTTCTCTATTTCTATTTCTCCATATTTTTACTTTTTCATTTAACATAAGAAAAATATCTCCATGTTATTCTTTATGAATATTATTTTAAGGGCTGTATAATATTCCTCTTATGGACACATCATGATTTACTAAACTATTCGTATTTGGGAGTATATTCAATTTTTTAGCTAATTTAAGTTATATTTGTTGTAGTAGCTACAACAAATATTTCTGGGCATCAAGGTTTTCCAGAACTTTGTGCCTGATTTTCTAGACCTGAAATCCATGAGTCACTGGTTTTAAACACTGGTACACAATGCCAAATTGTCTTCCAGAAAATTTGTCCCAGCTAGTCCCACTGACAGTATATCCATTTCACCAAATACTCTAATAAATTTTTCCTAGTTTGGTATACACGTCAATGTATCTTGATGTCTGCCTTTCTTTCTTTACTAGAGAGAGAGAACACTTTTTGCCATCCTTTCTTCTTCAATTTCAAAAATATTTCCCAACTTCGAAATTATTTCCTTCCTTCCTTCCTTTTTTTCTTTCTCTCTCCCTCTCATTCCCACCCCGGTTTGTCTAGGTGGCAGGCAGAATGGCGCTACCCCAACTGATTAAACAATTAGTTGGAAAAGGAGCAAGCACTGACAGGCGACTGCCAGCTGACTTATGCACACATTTGAACACGAAGAGCAAGATAAGCAGATGAATTCTAACAGTTTTCATTCACTTAGAAAACAACGAACCACAACCTTGTTAGTTGACTTTAAATCCCATTCCCTTCTCCATTCCTGCCCCGCTCCTCCCCCACACCCACAAGGGAAAGCATAAGGACAGAGGTTGCTCCAGTCATGCCTCA